ATTGGCATGTGTAGAAAAATAACAAGCTAACAAAACTATGCCAAGTAACTTGACGATTATAACACCATTTAAAATAACATCGATCATAACCCATATATTTCTGTCGGTGCATGATGTTGTCATTGCAGTATCGCTGTTTTTTTTTAATCTAGAAGACCGTCGAAAAAAGAATCGAAGTAGGCGAATTTAGTATGCATTTGATATGAATGAAAGAAAAGAGACAAGAAGAAAAGTGAGAGATTTTCGTTCCGTTGAAACATAGGTTAGAATCTTGAAAAGTTCAACAGAACATAGACGATGATGGGGTTACCGGAACTTCGCCAATAAGACTTTCGCCAATAGGACATTCGCCAATGGCGAAAGTGCAGGGGTATATTGACGAACGTCCACTGTACTTTCGTCAATTGGCGAAATTCCAGAAGACGCATTGGCGAAAGTACAGTAGACTTTCGCCAATTGTCAAGAAACAATATTAACATAGGATATATATGATTCTAATTCACAATCCAATTGGTGAAATTCCAGATGAGGTGTTGGCGGAAGTACAGTGAACTTTCGCCAATTGGCCAAATTCCAGAGGGTCTTTTGGCGAAATTCCAGTGGAGTTTCGCCACTGGCGAAAGTGCTATTTGGCGAAAGTCTTATTGGCGAAGTTCCGGAATCCCCGATGATGTTCATTCAAACAAAAGACAAAAAAGCAAAAACCAAGGAAAAACACATGGAATCTGTTCAGTGTAGATCATCATCGTCATTGATGTCGATCAGATAGATGAAGTAGAGTGAGAATCTTGATCAATGGTGACCATTACGTGATAAGATGGCATAGTACCACAATTGGTCGACCATCGAAACAAAGTCTTGTAGGGTTGACGTCGACCAGGTCGAGATAGAAATACATGAACTAATCGTGCGATCGTTTCCATGAGATCGTCTTCATCTTCGATTTCCGAACGTCGGCATTGTTCATTCAATAATGAATTGGACGAAGTTACTTGATTTATGGGTTGTTGTTGTAAGAAAACCGATGATGATTCTGTATTGGAACCCATGGAACTCTGTGTAATACCTGTACTTGGGTAATTATTCGAGTTTGTTGGTTGATGTTGCGGCATTGTATTCGATTGACCTTGACAAGCCGATGTCGAACGTAGACGGCCATTGAATGATGACATCACTGCTTTTGAGTGAAACGAAA